GGAAGAGGAGGGAGGAGGAAGGAGGCCATTGACGATAGATGGAGGGAGGAGGAGGGTGGGGCAGGGAGAGAGGGTGAGGAGGAGGGAGGAGGGAGTACGGAGGAGGAGGGACGAGGGAGGAGGAGGAGAGAGGAGTAGGGAGGAGGAGGAGGGAGGATGAGAGTTGAGCGGGCAGGAGGAGAAGGTGCTGGAAGAGGGTGAGGTAGCCGGGGCATGAGAGAGAGAGAGAGAGAGAGAGAGAGAGAGAGAGAGAGAGAGAGAGAGAGAGAGAAAGAGAGAGAGAGAGAAAGAGAGAGAGACAGAGTATCAGCGAGTGTTGCCGTGCGCCACGGCGTAGCCGTGGTGGGTTCCACTTGTAAAATAAAAAGAAAGAAAGAAATGCTCCTTGGCTGGCTCCTTGAAACCCACTCATTTCATTCACCTCCCCCTTTTGACCAAAGTTCGGAAGAAATCAGCCCCTAGAGCCAGGACCATAAGGCATTGTTCATTGGAGAATAAAAGTAATAAAATCATCCCCTGGATGAGATGATCAGGAGCTGTGGCTGCCTTAAACAAGAACGATGAACGCACCTCCAGATGATTGTTGCTCAGGTTGAGTATCCTTGCGTTCTTGCACCCGTTCAGTATCGCTTCAGGAAATGATGTGAGTCCTACTCCTGAGAGATCTGCTTCCACTGCTCTCCCTGATAACAACTTGATCTGCCAAGACCACACATTCCACAAACAATAGGTTAGAATTTACAAAGTAATTGTCCCACACAAAGAAATCACCCCTTGTGTGTGTTTTGACTTTCACGACAGCAGCCCCTATTCCACCCAGATGAACAGATCCAAAATCAAAGCATATTCATAATAATTCAATCCTATTGCAGACAACGAAAGCCCTTGAGTTCAGACAACCCAACAACGAAACAGTTTCACTGCTATAGCAAACAACATAACGTACAATAGAAGCATGTAAACCCCTTTCTCGAATGTGTTCACAGAATCACAGTTGCTTTCTTCCGGGTACCCCTTTCATTTGTTCTTGCAGCTCCCCCTTTACCGTGCCTCTCATGCACAAAGCTTGCCACGTTGATTATGGTTGAGCACGAGCTGCCCACATCCACATGTGCCATAACAGCCCACTTGCACAGAGCAAAGGAGTAGGTATATTCCTGTTCATTTCTCTCAGATCTTCAACTTATATTTTGTCTGTTCTCGTAATGATGCTCATTTGTACCATATTACTAGTAATAATACACAAGAGGAGGGAGGAAGGAAATGGGAGGTGGAGTTCTGACAGGGTTCTAAATAGTGACCGCTGGGGCAGACCACTCTAGAATGGCATATGAGGCCAGTCAATGTGTGGGCTGCATAAGATTCGAGGAGCAGTTGTTGCCTATGGTAAGTGGCCACCTCTACAGACCGGGCAGGACCGGTTCGGGTGTGGCCTGTGGAAGCACCGCATCCAATTCTCACAGTCCCAGTTACCGCATCGAATGGCATGGTGTAGGCAGATGTCACAGGCTACGTGGCTTCTACATGCTAGGAACACAAAGGCATGTCGACCACAATTGTAGAGGCATTGCCGTTCCATCCCCTGTCTACAAATTGGACATGAGATGTCAGGGCGCTGTACATGAGTGCAGTATAGAATGTCATCATACGTAAGAAGACAAAAGCTCGACCGGGCTATCCCTTCATAATCCTCACGGGATAAGGCATATGAACCACATGCTAGCTGAATCTCTGGTGGTTCATCACAAAGCGGCATGGAGAAAATTTATTGGGTTTCCTCAGTATTTATTCTTTCTCTATGAGTAGACAAGGACGGGCTAGATTGATCCAAAGCAAGGGTGTTCAACTGCTGCAGCATTTGGTCTGCAACAGTTCGCCCTGGTGGGGACAACCAGCACTCTGTAGGTGGTTCATACAGTAATCTATTTTTCTCCTCAGGCTGCTGTGCCCGTCGTTTGGCAGGCAAGGAAGAACGAATTCCGACTGCGGTTGCAGTAGGCGTATGACCAACATCGCATGTGGGACATGCCAGGAGAGGATGTGGCGGATGATGGCACCGGGGATAATACACGCAGTAGAGACATATTTTCTATGACAACTTCCTGGAAACATTGATGACACATGGCATGTTGCTGACGTGTCATCAGCAAAGAAGGCTGACGTGCCCAATTATTCACGCATGGCAGATCAAGGCCACAACGGTATGCTGGGCAATCGAAGGG